ATGGATCAGCTGGGAAAGCCATTCAGACATCCTTTCCCTCTTTGATGTATGATGGCAACTCTCCATAAGGAGTTTTAGCAATAGGGACCAGAACTTTCTCTTGCCGCTGGCGTGTTTTTAGCATTAATCTGTAATGTTGCAGTTGCTTTTCTTTGCAGAGAAAGGCTTGGTTGACCTTTGTGTTTAGTGTCTTGTTTTCTTTTCTTTTTTCTTTTCTTTTTTTTCTTAGATTTTTGTTTGTTAACGTTTAACTAAAAACATTTATATAAAATAAAACTTAAACAGTAAAAAAAAACTAACATAACAAAGGATAAAACGAAATAACTCTAAATAATAAAATGTAAAATAAAAATAAAATAAAATTAAATTAAATAAAACAATAAAATTAAATTAAAATTAAATAGTATAAAATGAAACAAAATGATGAAAAGATATAAAAATGAGATAAAATAAAACAAAGCAAAAAGTAAGAAACATTTTATTTAGTCACCCGGACGAAATTGGGTGTTGACAGTGTTGTGGCAAGATCTAGTACAAAAGCATAATATAGAGTTATGGCTTCAGCCACTTGTGAGCTAGTTTGGCTTAAGAAATTACTTAGAAAGTTACAATTTGGAGATGTCACTCAAATGATGCTTATATGTCACAATCAGGTTGCTCTTCATATTAGTTCTAATCATGTCTTTCATGAGAACACCAAACACATTGAAATTGATTTTCATTTCATTCGAGAGAAGATTGTATATGGAAATATCAAGACTGAGTTCGTCAATTCAAGTGATCAATTAGCAGATATTTTCAATAAATCTTTATGGGGACCGAGAATTGATTATATTTGTAACAAGTTTGGTACATACGATTTGTATGCACCAGCTTGAGGGAAAGTGTTAGATATATAATCTTTATTTTATATTTATATTTTATCTTAGTTGGTTTGTTATTATTTTTTATTTATATTTTGGACTTAGTACATATTTTTTTATTATAAATAGAGGACTCTATGTGTGCATTCAACATAAGAGAGATAATCACATACATAGTTTTTTATTATATTTAACATAACCCAATCAGGTTTGAACTCGTGAATCGAGTTGACTCATGAATTTTAATCCATTTTGATAATATTATTAATCATAATTTTATTTTTAAAAAATATCTTAGAAGATAAAAGTAAAAAAGAATTATGTAAGACTATGAAGTATGATAGAAATAAAAATGATTAATTATTAGGATGGACCTGAATTTCTGGAATGATTCCATTTCCATAGGTTGTGGCAATGATGGAAATTGCATTGAAGAATCCAAATAAGCGATTTTCAGTGTCACCTTTTATAGAGTAGTCCTTTTCTGGTCCTTTGGATGACTCTCCTGAGACAATATTGTAAATTGGAAACGAAAAAGGTTCGATTGAATTGCTAAAGCATAAAGTGGAAATTGCTAAATTACCAAAAGAAGAAAATTGGTTTGAGAAATTACCAATATAAATGGAAGCAGCCGTAGCAGCAGCACTATAGGCCAAGCAGAGAACGAGTGACAGCAGATTAATGTGTCTGAGTGAGTGGAAAGATGGAATTTGAGCCAAAATCAGCATGAAGCATCCAAATACGATTACAAACTCGTAAAGCTTAATGGTCCCGTTTGGATTTGACAGCAAGTAAATTGCCTGCATTTCATCGATATGATTTTTTCTAAGGCATAGAATATGAAATAGTATTTGATTTATTTTTCCAGATAATTCATCAAGGAGACACAACTATAATATAAATAAGAGATATATATAAGTTTCTCTCTTACAAAATTAGATTTTTTTTTTCAAAAACTTTGATATCTTTTAATTTTTAAACTTAAAAAATAATGAATATAGTATTTTTAATTTAATTATGTTAAAAAATTTCTACGTTTGAATTTTTTATATTATTTAATATGTTCCAAGTCAAATATTCAGTTAACTTATTAAAAAAGTTATATTCATTAATTTTTTAAATTTAAGTATTCAAATATATTAAATTTTTAGATAGAAACAAATTTCAATTTTATATTTAAATTTAAAAACTAAATTTTTTTAAGTCTAATTCAATTATAAAAAACTGGTTAATAAAATAAAATTTATAATAAATATTTAATATAGTTTTTGACTTGGTTGGTGATAAATAAGTGGGATGAAGAGTTGAGCATATAACCTTCATGCATTGGCCTCCTAATAGAATGCAAGCAACTACACAACCAAAACAAACTGCAAACTGAATTGGGCCAACAAAATAACGACCCCATCTTGGACCTGTCAAGAACACACTCATTAACACTTTATTTAGATCAGTAAAAAACCATTTTTATGAACAACCTAGAATAATTATCTGAGAATGTTTTAAAGATCTATTGTTCAATAACAGTGTTTTTTACCTTTTTTTTTCCTTCGGTAAGTTTTTAACTGAATTTATTTCTATTTTTTTTTCATTTATATCTTTACTTTATCTAACCTTTAATTGGTTAATCTATTGCAATACAGAAATAAAATTGAATAAAATAAAACATTATAAATATTGAATTTTCTGCTTAATTAGTTCATCTCATTCGTTAATTTTGACATACTTGTTCTCAAATGAATATTCATCTAAGTTTGATATTAACTAATATATAAAAAATAAAAAAATGTAGATGTACATAAGACGTTGGTTATTGTTTATGAGATGATTATCAACTTATTAATGTAACGATTGTATGATAAAGTTTACAATTTTATCAGTGTAAGAGTTACATGGGAGATTTTACAATTTTATCATTGTAAAGGTTACGTAAGAAGATTTTATTTTTATTGAAGTTGCAAGAGCACAAGTGTTTACAATTTTATCATGATAAAAAATCCATGTTGAATAATAGAATATTTTTATCGAGTGTTGGTGGTGTATTGAGTAATAAAGAGTAAATATAAATTTCAAGTCTCATTCTTTAGAAAAATTATTATTTTTTATGGCACGATTTCAATAAAACTAATTTGATAATAGATTTAATGTGTGCAAAATTAATTTAGTAAAAAAATCTCAATGACTAAATAATGATAACTTTCTTAAAATGACTAATGTAATAATACAGCTAACTTTAAATAACCAAATCAAACAAACCTAGAGTCAAATTAAGAGTACTTATTTATAATCTCGTTTCTTTAATGTACTAAATCTTAAAAACAAAAATAGCATGACGATACATATTAACATCGATTTTATACATATTATAAAAGTAAAATAATTATATAAAAATAAATTTTTGTATTTATAAATAAAAAGTAATAATAAAAAACAATGTTAAATGAATATAAAAAATTGTGTATGTCAAATATTATTATTTAAAAAAGAATCGACATGTCACACTGAATGCTTTGCAAATTAAAGTGATAACAGACAGACAAAAATTGAAGAGGTGTAATAGAAAGAGCATAAGAGTGAGTTACCTAAAATATCACGTGCCATGTCTCTAAAACGTAGTTGACGTTTACCATTGTCGGCGTGGTGTTCAAGAACCCTAGATATTAAATTATATGAATAAAAAGTCACCAATGCTCCGATCAACAGGCATGAGATCCCAGCCGTCCATCCAAGGAAGGTAAAAGCATAAGGAAGACTTAGAAGAGTTGGTGCCACTATCGATGTGGTTAAATGGTATCCACAATGCAACCAAGAACCTGCAAAATTACAAACAATAGTATATTAATCAAATAATAATAATATGAATATATTAAAACAAATTAAATTTTAAATTCAACTTAATCTTACAAAATTATCTAAAAGTTAAGATTTATACTCGTCTATCTTTATATTATATATTGATTTTATATTTATAATTGATGTAAGATTTTTAATATTTTTTAAATTAAAATCATATATAAAACTAAGTACTTATACGTAGACAGATTTAATAAATAACAAACTTTATTATAATAAAATTTAAAAGGTTTAGATATAATTTAAAGATTAAATTTTAAATTTAATTTAATTCTTAAAACTAAGATAAAAATTACATTCATTTCTATAATAAATTATAAATTGATATTATTTTTAATTGAAATAAAATTTCTAATAAATTTTTTCAGAGTCACTTTTAAGACAAAAAATTCTCCATTTGTAAAACAACTTTATTTCATTTAGAATTTTCAACGCTAGTAATATCATTGTTTGAAGGGTTAAATATGTTTTTAGTCCCTAAACTATTGGTCGTTTCTGGTTTTCGTCCCTCTTCCAAAGTAAGGTACAATTTGGTCCTCATTCTTTAGAAAAACGTTCGTTTTAATCTCAAAATTTTGTTTTTAGTCCTCGTTTTAGTCCTCAAAACGTTCGTTTTTTCGACTAAAACGAACGTTTTTTAAAGATTGAGGACTAAATTGTACCTTACTTTGGAAGAGGGACGAAAACCAGAAACGGTCAATAGTTTAGGAACTAAAAACATATTTAACCCTTGTTTGAATGGTGTGAACAATTTTTTTCCAAGTGCTGCTTGGTGTTGGTGCCATGTGCTTCCACCATTAAGAACCAAACAGTCAACGAGTGGTGATAAAGACAAATGAAAAATCAAACAGTCAGCCATTTAGTTCATCAAAGTAGGCTGGGAAAGCCATTCACGACAACTTGATGATTTCTGTGAAATCATTAATTCATTGAAAGCTAGGGTTTTGGTAATCATTAACCTCCAATCAATTATAATAGGACCAATATATTTATTTAAATGGTTACTATATCCTGTGATTGTCCAGTTAATTTAGAATTGGACAATTTATATAGTCAGAAACATTAAAAAAATCAGTCTAAACACTCAATGGTTCTGTCATATATAGTGAATGATCACTCTTAAGTTAAGGTTTGATGGATATTTGTTGTAATTAACATCAGTTTGACCATATGATATTTACTACATACTAGATAAAGAAATAAAATTGAATTTGTTGTAATTCTAAATTTTGATATTTTTTAATTCTTAAATTTTAATAATAATATATATAGTCTTTTTTTAATATAATTCTTTTAAATATTCTACAAAGTTTTAACTTTATATATTTAAGTTGGAATATCTATCAAATGATATAAACACTTTAAATAATCTGAAATGTCTTTTTTAACCGACTAAACAAAATTTAAAATAGGAAGATTAAAATTACTATGTTTATTTATTTTTAAAGTTTAATAACAAAATTATATCAAAATTTAAAAAATTTAATTTCAATCCAAATTTAAGAGGTTAAAATGTTAAAAATTGAATTTTAAGCTGAATTTAATCTCATATAATCAAACCATTAGCTTGTTCAGCTTATTATCAAAAGTGAGACTACACGTTAATAAATAGTGATCTGATAGTGGATGAAATAATATGTTCAATAAACAATAAATATCTCGATACAAGTAATACAATAAACTGAACAAACAACAAATATTTTAATATGAGTGACACAATAGGTTCAACAAACAACAAAGCTTTTTAAGATAAACTTTAAAACATGATTATAATATTATGTTAAAAGTAAAGATGACAACACGTGAGAGTCGGGTATGGATAGTGCCTGCTTGCAGTCTAACCCGCAAAGTAAAAATCAAAACCACAACTTATTTGTTACCCGCACGAGCATATGCTTAGAATTTAAAATTCAACACTACCCAAAAAAAAAGAAAAAATATTTTATACATCATAAATATAATATTATTAAAAAATATATAAATTAGTTTATTATTATTATAGATAACCAGTATCCGTAGATCCAATAGTATATTATCCGCATTCAACCTATTTAGAAACAAGTATTAGAAAATCTACTATAATAAATAAATATTCGTAGCTGGTAATTATTCATCCCAGATTTTATTGAAAAACATTCGTATTTGTCAATTTTTTTTGTCATCACTGACTAAGAGTAAAAGATAGAGTATAATATGAAATCGTCTTTGACTATAAACCTAAATTGATTGTATATTATATTATAGGTGCATAATATTTCCAAACAAGTTTAAACTCATTCATTTCCTGTTTTGCTTTTGAGCAACTTACTGAGGTTTGGAAGGATCTACCCTTTTAAAACAGTGCAGCACAAAAGGGAAATAGAGAAGGATAATAATCCTATGGTTGAAAAAGGTGTTCAATAAAAGGAGAAACTGAGAAAAAGAAGAAAAAGATTTTGAAGTAGTATAAGATAAAGGGTTATTATTACCTTTGGATTTGAGGACAAAAAGAGCTCCTGCATCAACATCATGTTGCTGCTGAAATTGATGAACACCATTTGGGTTCTCAGGTTTTTCATCAGGAAACAGAGCTCCCATCCTGAAGGCCTTAACAGAAGAACAGAGCGATTGAGAGCAGAGTATATAACAGCATATGATGTGTGTATATATATATATATATATATATATATATATATATATATAACAGAAGCTCTGAGTATTTTTACAGAAAAAGCAGTGTGAATTTTGACCAGAATGGATCTCTGTGATGGTACTTTTATAGACGCCTTGTGCAGTATGCAGTGAACCAGACTTGGAAACAGAAGATATATGACCTAAGCCTAGTTCAGATGATGTGTGCATATATATTAGCACAGTTAGGAGGAAAATGCAACCGAGACAAATGCTAATAAGACAAACTTTTTCGATGACATTTATGGTAAGATTTTGTTAAAACAAATTGTTTTATTAAGTATTTTGTACTTTTATAATATTTAATTTTTGTTGTTAGTGGAATATGTAGTTGATACTTTTACTTTTCCTTGATATGTTTTTTTTTTATTTTAATTTTCTTTGACTTGTGAGTCATTCCTTCTCTGTCTAAGAACAAGTTAATTTTGATTTATCAGTAGAAAAATAGAAAAGAAAGATGCTTGATTAAACGAATTCAATATTAAAAGATAAAACTAATAATCATTTTCATGATGACACAATTAAATAATAAAGTAGTTAGATGAAAATAACAAATATTTTGATCACGCATTCCCACAAAAATAAAAAATATTTAAATTTATAATGCCTTTAAAATTTAATTAATTAAATTAAAAGATAAATAAATATTTTATTGAATATGTTGTTTTCCTGTCTCATTTTTTTTGCATTAGGTTGAAACGGAGTATTTATCAAATGGTTTAAACCCTCCCTTGGTCCTCAAGTTTGTATGAAAATCTCAGTTGGGTCCTCAAGTTTTTTTCTGTCTCAATTGGGTCATATTTTTTGTAAAAATGAACAAATTTTACCCTAACCGTTAAATTGTAACAAACGGCGTTAGTTGGTGCTGACGTGTTGCATAATTAATGTGCTGATGTCAAAATATTTTATTACGTGGAATTTTTATTTAATTTGAGAGATTATGACATGGCGATCGTTCTCTTCTTCTCCTTCGTTTTGGTCTTCTATCCTGCGCAAAGATTCATCTCCTTCCTTTTGCTTTCTCTGTTGTGGGCGTTCCTTACCCTAAAAAAAATCACGATGCTGAGGACACTGCACCTTGCTCCTTGAGTTCTATCCCTCGGTGTCCACACCATTGGAAACAAGATCATTGCCTCCAGTCATAAATTTTTCAGTCTGGTTTCTTCAGTCTGGTTTCTTCTTTATTGAGTACTGTACATGTTTTGTAGCTTCAATCAAATTTTAACCTAGAGAATCTGTTTTTTATTTTATTTTTCTTTTTTTCTTAAATTGATTGATGTCCTGTCAATCAATTAATTTATATTAATAATAAGCTAAAGTATTATTGGCTGTCCTGTCAATAAGGGAGTAAGATGTTAAGCTCTTTTTATATTAATCTTAATAAATTCATGTGTTTTGTATTATTCATTTATTTATTTATTTTGAATTACATATTATTTTATTTAACTTATTTTTAATTATTATTTTTTATTTAATTTATCTTCAGTTACACATAGTTTTTTCTTATTTATTTTGTAATATATATCCGTTTACAACTGAACATGTTTACTTATTTTATTTAATTTTAGTTTTAATTTTACGGATCTTATTTATTTTATTTTTAATTATGTACTGACCGTATTTAATTATTTCTTTTAATTTATATTTAGTTATGAAATACTTTTGTTTATTTGTTTTATCTCTGCATTAGTAGTATTTATTTATTTCATTTAATTTATCTTTTTTATCTATCGATTATGTTTATTTATTTTATTTTAATTATCTTTGATTACTTATTGATCTATTAATTTATATTTTTATTATTATATTTGTTTATAATATTATAATCCATGTATATTTATTATTTTAAATTCTTACTTTGATATATTATATATCATTCTTTTTTCTAAATATTATTTTTTCAGTGAATATAATAAAAGAAAGTTACTTATATGTTTTATATAATTTATTGTATATCTTTTGCATTTGTTTAGATGAAATATATATTATTGATAAA